ACACACACACACCTATATATATATATATATATATATATATATATATATATATAGGTATTAGTCAAGCACAATGATTTATTGATATATTTACAATTTTAAAGCCATCTGAAAGTCTACCAGTGCCTCAATCATTATAATAAAATAAATTCTTAACACCTATGAATTTTGGTGTTTGATTTTGGGGTTTTTATCATGAAAATATCCGAGGTCCTCCTGCCCTCTTTACTCACCAAAACACAGGTCCAACTGCAGCTGTCCCCACCCTGCTGCTTTGTGGTGCTGAGCAGCCCCGATATGCTGTTCCCCATCACTCCCAAACCACACCCCTCAGTCCTGCTGCTGCCCCTCACTCCTGACCCACTGCCCTGCTGGTGCCCTTCACTCTAAACCTTAAGCCCTTTGGCCCTGCTGGTGCCCCTCATTCTTGAATCGCAGCCTGCTGCCCCCAGTGTATGAGGAAGGGAGTGGGTATGTGGGGAAGGCAGAGGGAAAGGGGACAAGAGAGACAGCCAGGGGGCATATACTTCCTGAGATTTCTGTGCCCACAGCAGGGCACAGGGATGTAGCCAGGCCAGACCAGCTCCAGGCAGCTGCCTCCATGGCCCAGCAGGAAAAAACCCAGCACTGGAAGGTGAGCTCTGCCACCATGGTAAGGCACTGTGGGGGTGCACAGTTGTGCCTCCACTGCTGCCAGGCGGTGCCTCAGCTTTACGGCCATGGCAGTGTAGTGCTCCCTGCCACTCCAGGTGCCCCCACTGGGCTGCGGAGGTGGTTCCTGCCTGTAGCTCGTCAAGCCCTCCGGCAGCCCCATGCCCCACTGTGGGTGCAGAAATCTCAGGGGACATGTGCCCTCTCACCACTTGGCCTGTGTACTCTCCCACTTCCCCACCACGTGGCCTGTGCTCCTTCCACTCCCACCCAACGCATGGCCTGTGCCCCCTCTCCTACTCTATTGCCTGGGTTCTTCCCTCTCATAGACTTGAACACACGCACATGCATGTGGCACCCCCTTCTTGATCTCCCTCTTCCCACTGCCTGCAGCCCCAAGCAGCCCTTTGGAGGCTGGAACTCTGTCTGCTTGCAAGGAGAAACCTGTGGTTCCCCACGTTTTTCTCCTTTAAAGGGGAAAATCTGTGATTTTCTCTGTTAAAAGAGAAAATCTGCATTTCTCCCCATTAAAGGAAAATTCCATATTTTCCATGTTTTTCTGCAGCAAACAGAAAACTTGGATCCCTGGTTATAATGAATCAGGTGACATGCTCATCAGCACAAAATTATTCCATCCCGTTCTACAATGGTATAGTTATTTCATCTGTCTACAATTTCAGTTTCCTAAAACTAATGACATTCAATTGGCTTCAAGAGTCTATTAAATCTCAAGATTTCTCCAACTTCACATGCCACTGACTGTTTCTGTTAAGCTCCGCGTGGGTGTGTGCTTTGATCAGTTTATGCATACAAATACAAGTTTCAATTCATATAGGTGTATGAACTTTTTCAGAGGAAAAATTTCACAAAGAGCTGCTTTTAGCTGTTCTCCAGACATATATTACAGAAATGAACAAAAAGCAAAATCATTTCAACATAAAAAGCCAAACAATATCAGTTATATTAAGAACTTAATGTAAGATAATTAAGCAGAAAAGTAATGAAAGGAAAAAAAGCTCTTGATAAATTGTTTTTCTGTAAACTAGTGCATCTCCAGTTTCCACTACAGCACTCCTTGAAAGTTCAACTTTCCTGTGTATGAACACAACTTGGGAGAGGCATTAGCATTAGGATCAGACATTCAGAGAGTCTCAAGAACTTGAATTCCAGTATAGTTCTTCCATTATAATGAAGTCAGATAAATAACAGACTAAATGCTCAGAGGAAAGCAGCTGAGAATCTATCCTGTTAAATCACTGGGGTGGTGTCTGTTTACAGGTAGAAGAGCAATACTGTAGTTATGGGCACACACAGAAGTGACAATTTTTGCCCAATCTGGCCACAGAAAGCAGTTTATAGCCGTGACCAAACACACGTGCACAGCTGCAGACAGGGCTGACTGGGTGACAAATCTGACCCCACATTGCACAAGGGGGTCAGATGAAGAAATTTCAAAAGCAGAGCGTCTTCTGTAACTTGAGTCTGCATTGCCCGCCAGCCTGTTTTCAGAATGGGAGGGGGGAAAGGGAGCAGAGGGAGTTTGGTTTGTGGGGGTTTCAGCCCCCGCTGAAGGGTGGGGCAGGTATACTGGAGTCCCCCCTAGAACAAACAAGCTCCCTCTGCTCCCTTTCTGAAAATTTTACAGCCTAACAGGGAGCAGGGGCCACTACTACAGGAAACCAGCTGCAGGCTCCCAGGCAGCAGCTAGATTCTCCTCCCCCCTGGAACCAACAGGGAACTTCTGTTTGTTCCAGGAGGTCGCTTTAACTAAGAACACTTCCTGCAAAGCGTTCTCAGTTACAGCGGTGAGCTGCACTTCTGTCTGCACCCCAGATTCTTGAGGAACCTAGAGTCTGGTCCTCAACCTAGTGCGTATATAGTAAGATAAAAGAATATTCCAAAAGCCTTAGTTTTTAGGGCATGCTGCTGTAGTAATCAGAGGAAAATGGTGTTTATTTTTGTAACTGTCTGTGTTGAGGGAGATTAGTGAGCAGTGGAAAAAGGAGAAAAAAAATATATTGTTTATTGTTCTTTACTACAGTTCTTTACTGCCTGGTTTAAGGCAGTAAAGTAACTGATACCATCTGTCTCTATTCTGACTTAAGTAGAGTTTTGCTTTTTCTGTACTGGCTGAGCCACCAGTCCAAATACATTTTCATTTAGAAGTGTATGAGATCTCTAATGGTACCTGTGTATTAAGGTTGGGATACAACATTTCTTATTTTTTAAAAAATGAACAAAATTGATAGACTAAAATCGTTCCATCTCTATCCGACGCTGCGTCTTTGAAATACATCTTAACTCTGACTTTAAATCCATATAACAAGAGGATACGGATATCTAGTAAAAACAAAAATGTTTCCATGACAAGCTTCTATTATTCTGGTTGAGAGAATGAGATGGAGAAGTACCAGTGATTCTTGCATGACATATAAAGTGTGAAGGGATGACAGCATGTGGGAAGGGAGGAAGAAACCCTGTCTATACCTTGTGAGAATAATTTAATGAACCAGGTACTTACACAGACACCCCTGCCCTCCCCTGCAACCTGTCTCTCGCTCACTGACCACCTCAGTTTACATTTTAACTGACTGGCTTTCTTGCATACATACTGGCCTCTGGCTGCTTTACCACTCCATCCAGGAAGAGCACAGACAATCTGCAGACACTTCCCTCAGCCTGGCGAAGGGTGTTTGTGCCCAAAAGCTTGCTAAGAAGATTTTTTCCAACTATTTGAGTTGGTCTAATAAAAGATATTGGATTTACCCAAAAACCTTTCCTTACAGACCAAGGCACTGCAAGTTGCTTTTACTCTTGGTAAGACAATTACTACAGTTGTTTAGTACTCCTTGCCCAAGATCCTCTTATTTCAAATTATTTTGTTAATTAGAAAAAACCCTTTATTTGGGAATAGCCTCTTCACTCCTTTCCACATCTTTCATGCACATGTTGCCACTGCTCTATCTTGAAGCAGCTATTTAATCAAACAGAAAATTTAGAGATCACTATCAAATGATAAGCATGATAAAGTACATTAAAGATGCTTTCATTTACTGAAGTCCACTGATACTACCAAGGAAGATTTTATTATGTTTTTTCCTCTTTGGTTTAGAGTGGGGGACTTTATAAGTCCCTCTACCATTATGGTTACCCTTCATTAGAACAGCAAGAATTCAGAAACCTATCCAATTTAGTTCCTTTTATTGCTTTGTTTTGAGAAACTCTGCATTAAGAAAACACCTCTGCTACATCAACTCTTAATCGCAGACAGAAGGTAACAGAACAAAACGCTATAACTCAGGAAACAGAATTATAGCTTACCTTGTTTTCCTCCAAGAACTTCAGTTTGATAGATACATCATTGCGCATTTTGTCATATTTTTCTTTATGCATTTGGAATAGCTGCTGTGACTGCTCAATCTTTGGCAGAGTGTTTGCATCACGAGGGCCAAGATTCAGTTCTTCTAGGTCTGTGCGATAGGCATCATACTCAATCCTAGGAAAGTTGAGGGTGGGAGGGAAAAAAAGTTAAAGTCAGCCCTCAGCCTTTCAAATGCTGCATATTCCCCCCTCAGCCAAAAAGGGAAAAATATTCAACTGCATGAATAAAGATGCTGGACCAAGTCCTCTGTTTATCCAGTTCACTCAGATGATTGTACTCTAGAAGCTCAAACTAAGGTGCCAAGCAGCTACGCCAAAAAGCCACACCCAGTATAGCGTCCTCACTGGTAGTGAGTTTACCCATAGGTCTGTAGCACTTCTGCAAGGACAGCCCATGGTTCTCTGTGCTTCATAAAGCCAGAGCCATGCTAATTCTTTCCCAATCAATTGTAGGGGAACTGCCCTGCCCTGAACAAACAGAATTAAACTGTGGAATGATACTGGGGGGGATTATTCAATCCCAAACACTTGAATATGTTTCCTCACATTTTTGGTCCAGAGCTCCAGATAAGCCTACTGCCTGAACTGAAGGCACCGCTTAAAATAAAGATTTTTAGTGATGATAAAATAAGACCCAGAGTTCATTCTTAAGTGAAGATACAGGTTAAAGGACTGCTTCTAAGAGGTAATAATGTAGGAAAATCTGTTTATCCAAACTTTGATCTCTCTTCTACAACTTCAAATTTGTGACAATTTTGATGATGACTTGAAAGTTTGGTACCATTAAGAAAAGAACTAAAATAATCAATTCATTGTATCCTTAGCTACTATGAGCACAAGATATAATTTAAGATATACTGTGAAACAAGAGGATCTGAGACCCTATACCAATAAGTGGCATGTGTTGTTTAATCCTCAAATATTATTTCTTTTAAAATTTCAGCTATACAGTCCATTTACTTGAAAACAACCTGAACTCTCCAATTAAAAACTTCCCTGACATTCTCAGATTGTACCAGTTATAAGTATCCAACTGATTGAGGTCCACCAACCATATAGCTGGAGGGTTTGAAGTACAAAAGGTTCTTATTAGGCAAATAAAACTGTGCAAAAGGTGGAGAAGGGGAGGGAACCCTTGAGTCTCAATTCTGAGAATCATGTCCAACAGACTACTGAAATTTGGGTTCTCAGCAGCAAGGTATTTAAAGTAATCTTACTTTACTAAAGTACTTTTCCACAACTGCAAGAGACTGATAAATGGAATACAACTACACTTCATACCCAACACGCATCCTTTCTCCTGCAGACCCAAGAAATGTGCTGGTTACTACCTGATCCCAGCAGTCTTTCCTGCTCAAGTGCAGGGGGGTTGGACCTGATTATCTGTATGGTCCCTTCTAGCCCCTAACAACTATGAAACTACGATTGATTAAGTGCCAGACAAAACAACTGGCCTCTGGTCAGAGACATTCAGATGCCCTGCAATGGGCAACCTTCTCTGGAAGCCCCTATCCTTCTGTAATTTTTGCATCTTGAGAAACTAAGTTCTACTATGTTTGTCAAGTATTATAGAAGCTGAGCAAAAGGCACCAATTCCCACACCACAAGGAGAAATAAATAGATTTGTTAAATATTAAGAATTGTAACACCAGGATAAATTAGTGTCAAACATGGCTTTTCAGCGTAAGTGGCAAAACTGCTCCACGAGGAAGTTAAAATGTTTTCAGAGAAAGTTAATTAATTTTCTATCACCCAGGCTAAAACCAGACAATCTGTCCGATTCCCATATGAGCTTTGCAGCAAAACCCAGACCTTACAGATGGACAATCCCATTGTCCCACATTAAGTACCCACGAAGTATCCAATTAACACTTTGCTTCAGAACAATTGAGGCTAATTCAAGTTAATTTCCATTTAAACCTTGTCCCAGCCCTGTTGTGATGCAAGTCATATTTCAGACTAATCATCCCCAGATTAAACCAGTTGGCTGTTTATTCTCAGAGGGGTATGGTTAGCTCTCAAATAGGTTTCTCTTCTAAATATCTTACAATTTAGATTTCAAATCGAATATGCACACCCACACACAGATATGGGCCAGAAAGAGCCAGTACACATCAAGGAGAGCAGTTAATTTGACCCATTTTTTGGAGGTGCCTGCTAGAAGTTTGACTTGGATCTGAAGAATTGTCATGAAAACACACAATGGATCAGTCTGAAGATGGCTAGGAAAAAGGACAAACAGGCCTTGGTGACCAGCATCAGTGACAGAGAAGATGAGAAAAAGCAGAAAACATTAGACAGGCAAGCAGACAGTACTGTAGGACAGTTATACAAGGTCTTCAAAAGTTATTGCATAGAAAGAAGAAGAAAACAATCAAGAGAATGAAGGAGGATGTGCAACAGGCAAATAAATTTTGGCAGCCATGGTTGGTATGGTAGGAGCAGTGTGCACTGATCACTAGAAAAAAGATGTACCATTAGAAGAGCACATTCAACGGCAAGACTGGGTTTTTAGCCCAAAAAGTAAAACGAAAAACAAAGTCAGAAGAGAAAATATTCAGAGTTTCTAATTTAGATGCAGAAAGTGAAGAGATTTAGTATGAAGGTCTTCAAGAACAAACGTCATGAATTGTGTGCACAGGTCTCCATGGAGAACTCATACTGGAGCAATGGAAAGCTAAAAGGGAGACAGAAACTAGGCTGTAAAGGACAGACAGTCTCCAAAAAATATTGTAAAGAAACAAAAATCATTCCCTTGTCCTACCTGTGCACATAGGAATATACAGCTATGAAAACTATTTATTTATACCTCTTAAGATTACTACCCAACTCCAACTGGCAAAATACTTTTCATAGGTGTCTTAT